AACATAAGTCCACTTGCCCTCCTTGCTCGGCACCTGCGAGGACCAGGCCACCCAGTGTGGTCCCAGTGCCCTGGGCCTGTCATTACAGCCCCACACAAGCTGAGGCCACCCCGACCCCCACTTGCCTGCCACCTCTGCCTCCACAGCCTGGCTGCCTCTTGCCCCACAGAGGCCAACCTGTCTCCACTCAGACAGGCTAAGACGTATGTACCTCCTGGGGGCGCTGTAACTACAAGCTGAGACAGGGTCTCTCTCAGCAAACCCCTACAAGATGAGCTAACCAGTGAGCACACGGCCCCTGGCCAGCACACAAGGGGACACGAGAGGAGCACACTGCAGGCTCCCAGCATGCCTGCCCAGCATGAGTGGGGATGCTGAGCCTACCTGAGGACCAGGTGGGAAGCCAGGGTCACAGCCACGTGGCTCCAGAGGGAACAGGAAGCAGTGTTGCTCCTCCACAGCACCATGAGGGTCCGGGCTGGCCCACCTAGTGCCGCTCCCTGCTCTGGACAGCATGGTGGCTGCCTGTGGCCAGGCCTCTCCCATGGGACCAAGGCCTGGGCCCCTTGCCTGAGGCTTCCGGAAGAGGCTCCCCAGCCCTAACATGGCTGCAGGGCGGGCGAGGAACTCAGCCTTGGCGAGGAACCCGAGAACGCCTGCAGGCTGGCTTCTGTCAGCAGCTGAGGACAAACAACAGGTGCGGCAGGGCCGCCCGTGGGGAGGGCCAGGTGCAGCCTACGCCTTGCTCCAGACAAGATGCCAACAGGAAGCAACGGTGCGGGCAGCGACCAGACACCCCAATAGACACCCCAAGGGAAAATCGTGAGGGCCAGGCCCCCATGGCCTGATGGCTCTGAGCCGAGCCCACCCCACCCGTGGGCCTGCTGCCCACACACCTCTCCCCCGCCTGGAGCACTCCGCGGCAACCTCCTCACCACCTCACCCCTCCCCAGCAGGCCTTCCCCAGCAGACCATGAAAAGCCACCTACACACCCTGCCGTCACCTGCAACCCCGTCCTGGCCTTATTTTTCATTTTGAATTATGAAATCATAAGACTCCTCAGAAATTTAAAGGTGCAAAGGGGGCCCATGTTCCCTCCCCAGGATGGCATCCACATAAGCAAATGCACTTTCCCATGCAGGAAACTGCACAGGGCTGGGACCTGGACACCAGGCCCAGGTTGGACTTCCCCAAGTTTGGCACGTGCTGTTTTTGCAGATCTCATATCTGACACGCAGAGGTCCGCCTAGCCAGCTGCGCTCACCACGCAGGCTGCTCGCTCCCACAGAGGCACACAGCCGCTTCCTGTCCAACTGTGCTCAGCACCAGCCCTGGCCACGCCAGCAGAGATAGACAGACGTGGGCACCTGAGATCCAGCAGGGACCAGGCCTTCCTGCACAGCAGGTACCCGCACGCACCGAGTGTGCAGATGGTTCCAGAGCAGCTCTTTCTGTTCTCTCCATCCCCATTTGTGCTCTGCTGACGGTGAGGGCCACATGTCTCCACCTGGGCACTAGGCACCCTCATGTGGAGGAGGCAGGGGTCACCAAAGTGACAGGTTCAGTGGGGAGGCACATGCCAGGGACTCTACACAGGCCAACAGTCTGGCTCATTCATTCAAGAGCTGCCACATGACCAGGAGGTGTGGAGCTGGGGAGGGAGCTCAGATCCCTGTCTCGGGCTAACCCTGGTGGTGAGCCCCAGAAGTCTCCCATGGCTCCAAGCTGCTTCACAGCGGCAGACAGGTCAACAGACCTCGCTGCAGGCTGTTTGAGACAATGTGGGGCAAATCCCAGGCTTCCTGGGGCCAGGCCCTGATCAATGAGCTCTGCACATGGGTGCTAGCTAAGTCCTCAAGTAATCCCAGTGAGTTGGCACTGTCACTGTCCCCACTACCCTAATAGGGAGGAGCCTGAGAACTGAACTGGGCCTGGCCTTCAGCTGGGGCAGTCCTGCAAGCTCTAACTCCAACACAGGTTATGCCTTATGCTCAACAGCCCCAAGACCCTGCACCGACATCACAGACCCCTAGGGCTTGGCTCTCCACCTGGTATGCAGCAAAGGTCTCAGTGAATGGATGTCAAGTTGACAGCAAGGTCCTCTTAAGAACAGGGAAGGCGACCTGCAGAGAAGCAGCTGGCCCTTCTAAAATAGCCCCAGGAGAGGTTCCAAATCCAGCCAGGCCTGGCATAAACCTCAGCCCCTGATATGCCTTTGGTCTTGAGTACACAGATAGCCCTTCAGGCCAGGCTAGTGCTCTGCCTGCACACATGATCCCAAACTCTCCACCGCCTTTCCTGCCTGCAGGCCACTGAATGTCCTACCAGCCCCAAAAGACCCTGGGTGGGTCATCTGCTGCAGTGTGCCTCCTCTTGTGACCTCGCCCAGACCTAGGGGCTGGCACGAGCCACCTGCCACCTATCCCAGGCAGCTCTTCCATGTGTTGGGGCTTGGCCTCTACACAGTTACACAGCAGGATCACACAGGGTGTTAAGTCCCAAGAGGACCCCTTCAAATTAAAACAGCAGCCTAAAAGGGGACCCAGGCAAACAATCAAGCACAGAAATTCTTTGGGGATGCTCTCTAATCACAGCAAGTCCTTCTTGGCTCCCTGGGTCCCTGTAGGACCAGGCAGGCAATAGAGCGGCAGTGCTCAGCCTAAAAGTGGGTGGTGGAATCTTCAGAGCTGTCACAGGCTCAGGACTGGGGCCAGAAAAGTCTGGGAGAAGTTCAGCCAGGCATTTTCAGACTCTGACTACCCTGGATCCGGGTCCCATGGTGCCTGAGGCCATTGCAGGCCACCCCATTGCCAGCCCCAAGCAACAAAACTGACTGCTGAGTCAGGCCCAGCTCTGCCCGGGGGCCCAACTGTTTGCAAAAACAAAGGGGACGCTGACAGCCCAACTCTCCAGCCTGGCCAGGGGCATGCAGCAACTGGAGCTCACAGCTGACCCCACACCAGCTCTGCGGCCATATCACCGGGGCTTCCCGGCTGCTGGGCTTGGGTCTTGGCAGTGCCTAGAGGAGGCAGCACACTCCCAGCATCTACACTCACTGGACAAGAAGATCCATGTGGGTCTCCATCCCTTGGCAACCTCCAAATAGAGTGAGGCCTCTGCCCCATCACAAGATTAAATGGCCAGTCCCGCGGTCTAGACACATAACAGTGCTGCCTGAAGCTGCGTGCATGAGGCAGTGAGACTCGTGGCAGAGCCTCTAACTCCCTAGACAGGTGGCACCCACAGGCTCAAGATGGCAAGGGGAAAAGTTAGGGTGCCCTTCCTACTCCCACAAGAGAGCAACCAAAGAGAGTGGGTTCCAGAGCCAGCCACCTGGATAAAACCTCATCCCGGATACTTGTCACGTTGCCCCCTGGACAGGTTGCTATCCTTTCTTTAACTTGTCTCTGCCTCAGTATCCCCCATCTATAAAATGAGGACAATACCAGCTATGACCCCAGAAGTTTGTGTGGGGAGTGTGCTGTGTTTAAAGGGCACTGTTCCCACTTCCCAGATGAGAGAACTGAAAAGAATGCTACTGGCCAAGCTGGACCCTGGTAAGCAGTGGCCCTGACTTGAACCTAGGTCTGTGGGCTCCAGAGGCTGAGTGCTGACAGTTCCTAGGGTCCCACAGGCAGCTGAAAGGATAAGCAGAGCCCAGGCCTTGGGGGAAGGCCCTGCCCAATGTTGGCAGGAGCCGGCAGGTGCTAAGTCACACATCCTCCTCTCTGAGCAGTGAAGTCACACCTGGACCACAGCAGGCCAAGGGAAAGCCAAGACGGCCCTCCCTGTGTGGCCTCAACCCCAGAGGAAAGCCTGGGATGAAGACACAAAGGCTAGGGTGTCCCCAGGCAGCTTTCAAGATGGCTCTGAACGTATGAAAAACCTCCATGTGTGAGAAGGAAGCCCATAACCATTCATACTCTGTCCTCCAAGCTCCCTCCCAGGAGGACACAGATGCTGAGGGCGGAGCGCATGTTGGAAGGGTCCAGGCTACATTCTGCCACCTGCAGCTCCTGTCACAGCACAGGAGCAAGGGAGCCACAGTGCTGCCTCACAGGGCAAGATCCCCTGAGGTGGGCAAGCAGCACTCTCCCCTGGGTCATGTAATCTACCAAAACGCAGAGTAGCCTGAGTCAGTCCCCAGCCTCAACTGTGTGAACGAACGCATGCGCGTGCGCACGAGACTCAGGTACAAAATCCAGAGGCCAGAATTTGGACTCAGAAAGTTTTAAGAAACAGCAACCTTGTCTAAGGAGCAGCCATCCCCAGGTACCCCAACCACATCAACAACATCAAACAGCCCCCATGAATCACTGTGCTGGGAAATCCAAGCAGGTGGAGCGTCCTAGGCACCCATACATCACACAAGTCCTTCCCCACCCAGCTGGGAGGTCTTGTCAGACATCGGCAGGGAGAGGTGGGATGTGGGAGTCTTTTTAGGATGAAGGAAGATAGGACAGAAAGCTCCAGAATGAGTCACAAAAGGCCCATAGGCCAGGCCACTTGACCAGCGATACCTGGTCCCTGTCACATCTCACCTGCTGCAGCATTCACAAAAATCAGAGCCTGGTCAGCAGTGACCCACTGCTACCACCTTTCCAGCACTGGAGGTCAGAGGGGTACCTGGGAAACAGCCCAGGCCACTGTCCCTAACACTATCAACAAACATGGAATGAGTGCCACCCTGCTCCAGGTACACCCTACAGCTTCCAGACGGCTGTTATCCCCATTGTACCGATGAAGAAACCTAGACACAGATGGCCTGTAAGCCTCCCAAGGTCACCCAACCACAGGTGGGGAGTGGGGTTGCACCAGGCAGAGGCTCCAGGGCTCATGCTCCCCTTTCTGTGGTGTGACCTCTGCCAGGGATAGAGAAATGCAATAGATCTCCTCCTACCTCCTCTCCCCCAAAACACAGTCATATTTCTGAAAACTGTCATTTCCCCAGCCTTTCAGACCCACTTCATCTCCAACCAAGCCAGCCACATTGACTCACCCATAAGTCCGCTGGACCAACGTGGGGTGTAGCTGCTGCACGCCAACGGCAAAGCCTAGAACGAGAGAGCAGTGAGGGACACTGCCTGCACATGCAAGGTACCCAAGCCCACATGCAGGGAGGCAGAGCCATGCAGGCCACACACAAAGACAACCAGCTTTCTGTCCCTGCCAAGACTTCCACCACGGCCCCACTCATGAACCTCCAACACTTGGCCAAAGCAGGCCCAGGGCCCCGTGTGGCAGCAGCCTCTCTGTATTGGCCTCCTGGCCTTCAGCCCTGTGGCTGACTTCCTCCTGCAAGGAGGGCTGACAACTGGGGTGATGTACCCTCCCCACCCTGTCCCTCAGGGCCACATACTGCTAAGAAGGGGCCAAGCTCCTTAGCTGGGGGTGACTGCCCTGTGACAGTCCTGCAGGCACATGATAGCTGACTGCCACTCCCGGGGAAGGGGGGGGCCTTTTTCCACCCAGCAGATACCAACACTCAATATAGAAACTGAGAAGAGCAGGGAAGGAAAACAGCTCTCACCCGTCTGCAAGCTCCGGGGCTTGGCACCCAGATATGCCAGGTTCACATTGGCCTTCCGCCCATCGATGATGGGATTGGGGTCTTTGCAAGCCCTCTCAGCTGCTGCCCGGTCCGCCATGGTCACCTGGAGAAGCACAGATGAGACGGTCAAGGACCTCCACTGCTGAGCTGAGGAAGTGGGGAAGGGGATCACCCTGACACCAGGCCACCCCTCCTCTCTCCCCTTCCTCCTAGAATCTGTTACTCAGGACCCTTGGGCCAAGTGCCCTCTGACCCCAGCCCAGTGCCCTCCCCCAGGCTGCCCCCTGGATTCCAGCTCCTCCCTCAAAGTTCAAGTGCTGGGAAATCTTGCCTTCAAGGACAGAAACTATCCCCTGGGAGTAGGGCAAAAAAAACCGAACCCCCTGGGCGGGGGTTGGGGGGCAGGCCCACCGGTGGGGCTCCGAATTTCCCCATGGGAGGAGTCAGCACCCTCCAGTCGTTCGGAAGTAGGAAGCGTGTCTTCCGTCGTTTGTACTTAAATTGACGCTGACTCGGGGCGGCTGAGGGGCTGCCGGGCCGTGGGGGAGGCCCAAGGGCCCGCGGCACAGTGGACCCGCGGGCTGCGCCAGAAAAGCCCCGGCGGGCGTCGGCTCGGCCCTCTAGGCGCTCCGTCCTAACCGAACCCGGCGGTCTGCCCTCCGGCCGCGGTGGGGGCGGGGAGCGGGCGGCAGGTGCGGGCGCGCGGCGCCGGGCGGCCCCGCGAGGCGGCCGGCGAGCGCCCGAATTGACTCCGCGCCCCGGCCGCGGCGAGGGGCGGGGCGGGGGAGGGCGGCCGCCGACACTTACGAAGCCGTAGCCGCGGGACTTGCCGGTCTGGCGGTCGGTGATGACCACGGCCTCCTCGATGTCCCCGAAGCCCTCGAAGTACTTCCTGAGCGAGGCGTCGGTGGTGTGGTAGGGCAGGCCGCCCACGAAGATCTTGGTGAACGTGGTGTCCTTCTGAGAGCCGTGCATGGCGCCGGGGGCGGCCGGGGGCCGCGGGAAGCCCGCGCTCGGGGCGCACGGCGCGGGCTGCAGCAGCATAGGGGGCGCCCCACCGCTACGGACCTGGGCCGCGCGGGGCTGCGCTCATGGGGGGGCAGCGAGGAGCGCGTGGGGCGGCGAGGGCGCCCGTCCAGCCGCCAGGCCCGTCCGCTCGCGCGCCGCTCCCGCCGTGCGCGCCGCGCTGCGCTCGGCACCGGCGCTGCGCGGACTCTGCGCCCAGGCGCCCGCCCCCGGGCTTTGTAGCCGGCCCCGCCCCCGTCGTCAGGCCCCGCCCATCTAGGGCCCGCCCCAGGCGCGGGGGCCGCCGGGAAGTGTAGTTCCGGCCCCGCCCAGCCGCGCCCTGGCGTGCCTGGAGCCAGGGGCACCAGGGCTTCTTAGCTGAGTACTTGCTGCACACGCGCCAGACCCAGTACTGGGCGCCGTACCCAGACCGACAGCCCAGGCCCTGCCCTCATGGATTAGATGTAACCGATTATTAGCTAGCTACTTAGGGGCCAACAGCATAATCATATTAAAAGTTTCACTGGAGGAGTATTTATCAAGGCCCCTAGGGGACAAGCCCTCTGGGACCAGGGTACAGCAAAGCACACCTCCTGGCCCCTCCCAGCTTCTGTGAAGAAGTAATTAAACAGTAAGTACATGATATACATTCCGGAGGAATTAGATGAGAGCTGCAGTGGAGCTGGGCTCAGTGGTCCCAGAGGCCACCCCTGAAAGGTGAGCTGGGTACAGAAAGGTCTGGGCCTCTCTGAGCTTTAAAGCTCCAGCCAGCCCCACTGGGGCTGGTGTTAGGGATTCTTTTGGGGCTCCTTTAAGGGAAGAGCAAGCAGAGGGCTGATCCCTGTTCTCTCTGTCCCTGTCCCCAGACATAAAAAGGAGGCCCATACTGGAGTTTCCTTGGGACCAGGCAGTTCCATCTGCAGAATTCTTGGGGCCCATGCAAAAATCAAACATAGGGCACCTTGTTCAAAGGTTATTACAAACTTTAGCTTGGCAACAGCCTGGAAGGAAGTTCTGGGTTTTTTGAGGTCACTACAGGCCCATGAAGGACCCTGGTTCAGCACCCCCATCTTATGCAGCTGGGTCTGGGGCTTACATCCTCTGCATCTCCAGGCACTGCTATTGGGACCTGTGCGAGTGGGGTCCCTCCTGGCCCCAGCCCTGTGGCATCCTCTTGACACAGTGGGACAGCGGTAGGATCTGTGGAAAGTGGCCCCCCATGGCTGAGGGGCACAGTGAGGCTACTTGGTTCAGCCCCATCTTTCCAGTGTCTGCCCAGCTTCTTCTCTGCCCAGGCTGTGTTGGACCCAGTGGCCCCACCATAGTCCCCTTCACATGGAAGGGACCCCAAGTCTGTGAAAGTGTACTGGAGACACAGCCTTCTGTCTGGCCTCTTTTCCTGCCTGCTGTTCCCCAGCTCTGGCCTCTGGGGCCTGTGCCTCACACTTGCCATTCACCAGCTTTTCCTTCCCCTCCTGTACTTTCCGCCCCCAGCACGTACACATTTGCCTGCTTGTTTGAGCATCTCCTGGCCTGCCAGGTGGGTGCCATGAAAACAGGGACCGTAGATGTGTTGCTCAAGCTGTAGGCCTAGCAACAGAGGCCCTCAGACAGTGCTTCTGGAGTGAATTCAGGATGGAATGAACTGGGCCAGGAGAGCTGGGGACCAGCCAGGAGCCCCTCCAAGCTCTTGGAAAACTGATTAAATTGTAACCTTGACTTGCCTCCTGGAGGCCCAGGAAGACAGTGGCTGTCCTGTTGTGTGATCTTGGGCCTGCTGGCTCCTTTAACAGTCTCAGTGCCTTCCCTTGGCCTGACTGAAGCCCCCTACAAGTCCCAGCACTGTCACCTTCCCAACCCTCCCCTGCCCCACAGGGCACCAGCAGCTGCAGCCAGGGGGAGGGGGTTGGGCAGGGAGGAGCCTCCTGTCTGAAATAGGAGCTGCCCCAGGACAGTTCCTCCACACTCCACCCCCTGGCCCCTTTGGGTTCCTGCATCAGTCACCAGCCTCTCCACCTGTCAGGTTGCCCCACATCCCCAGTTCACCAATACTCAGCCATTCATCCAAACATGTACTCATTAATGCACGGAGCTCTAGGCCCCAGGGACACAGCAAGCGGGAAGCGGAGGTTCCCATGTTATAAAGGGGTGAAGAGACAAAGGGACAACGAATGACTCTATGGATGCACGAGCTGACGAATGAATGACTGACTGAATATCAGGCAGTGTTTATTTTTAGGTAAATTTCCCCAGGCAGGTACTGAACAGGGTGCAAAAACAAGGGGCAGGGGAGAAGGCAAAGAGTGAGCAGTGTCCTTTAAAGCCAGGGACAACATCTGGAATTGATGGTCACAAGAGTGAGTCAGTGCCATGAAATATTAGGAACAGAGAATGCAAAGGCTCGGAGGTGAGAGACACAGCTATGTGGCCAATTCCTCACATGTCACTGATAATAACAATAATGATGGAAGTCAGCGCCTTTGAGTGCCTGTGAAGGGGCAGGTCCTGGGCGAGGTGACTTAACCTTTGCCATAAGTAGGCACTGTGAGCCAGTTTCAAGAGTAGCAGCTGGTGCTCAAAATCCCTTGGGCAAGGCTGCTGAGGTCAATGTGGCCGGCCCAGTGCAGAATCCCATCTTGTCCTCAAACAGCTTTTGGAAGGGGACTCGTCTCCCCACTTGGGGGGCTGAGCCGTGGAACCTCAGACAGGCTAAGTGAGCTGCCCACACAGCCATGCGGGGCAGCAGTCAGGGCAGAACTCCAGGGTGGCGCACAACTCCGTGGCCCTCAGCGTCCCCAGCCAGCCCAACCCACCAGTCATGAACTGTCATCTCCTTGCTGGGCGCAGAGGACCTGGGAGAGACCGTTCTCAACACAATCAGGACATACCAGCCTCTGGACTTCACTAGTCCCGGTCCCTCAGAGTCCACAAGGCCTGCCCCATGACCATGGTGGCAAAGGCCATTTGTCAGAATGCCACCCTGACATGGCTCTTGATGGTATGGCTATGAACAGCCTGCCCAAGAGTAGATAGAAGGGATGGGGCAGGCTAGAGCCAGGCCCCTGGACACCGCCCACAACCCTCTGTGACAGGAGACAATTATAGCACCTGTCACATGGTCAGCAGAAGACTCTGGCTCTGCCGGGGGAGCCCTTGGCACAGGGGGGCCCACTACCCATCACACCACCCCTGCAGCACCGCCACCACTGGCCACTAACTTGGGGGTTCTTGCTGAGGCTCCCCTGGCTTCTCAGTCGGGGGAAAATTGTGTCCCATGATCCCAGGAAAGGCTGGTAAGGTGAGAATGAGAGAGGGGACCAGTGACGAGGGGCTGGGCCCCTAAGGAAGCGGGAGGCAGGCCTGAGGGCAAGCACGGCACTGAGCAAACCAGATCCAAAGGCCACTGGTAGACCCAGGAGGCCCCTGCTCTTTAGAACTTCAGCTCAGCCCAGTGAAGCGGCTTAGGTCAAGTCTCCCCCGTTATCAGCACCTCAGCAAACTTCCCTGAGCACGTGGACACAGCCAGTTTGGCAGTTGATGTTGGTGGAGACAGAGCCCCTTTATAAAAGCCCTGGCTCTGGCAGGCCCTGTGGGCTGGTGACAGTAGTCTTCCCCCCCCACCGCCCCGCCCCTTGCTCCCCACCCACTAGCTCAAGAGGGTGGGAAAGTAAAGAGTTCCTTTGCCCGCCTCCCTTGTGGAAAGGGGTGACCATATCATGTCACCCTGCTGTGGCCAGTGTGATCCAAGTGGAAGTCTGATGGGGCCCCTGAAGGCTTCCACTCTCCTGCTGAGAGAGAGAGAGAAAGGCTGTTGGTACCAGTCCCTGGGCATTCTTTCTGCCTGGAGATTGGATGGACCTCCGAAGCTGTGACCAACGTTTTGTGATGCTTTGGCAAGATCCAGAGACACTGGTCCTGAAAACACTAAAGCCAGAGGACATTTGGCAATGGCTGGAGATGTTTTTGGTCGTCAGGACTTGGAGAGGGAGTACACCCACCGCCTCAGGGTCAGGGAAGCTGCCAGCACTTGACAATCGAGGAGCTCCCCACCCCTCCCCCACCAACAAAAATTATTTGGCCTCAAATTATAGTAATTCTGAGACTGAGAAACCCTGTGCTGACCCAACACTGACAACCAGACCCTGTTATGTGTTTGGGCCACTGTCAGGCAGGTGTCCCTGGGGACAAGAAGCAGCTTTCCCAAGTGGTGGAGATGCAGCTTGACAGCTGCTACTCAGCAGTCGGCAGGGCCTGGAAGCAGATCTTCCCTCCCCACCTTCCTTGCTCAGGGTCAGGTGGCGTGGTGGGCTGGGAGTCAGCCTAGATTCTAACCTTAGCCTCCCTCAGTCATGACCTTGAGCTGGCTCCCGCTAAAGCTTCAGCTCCTCTGCACGCTGGGGACAACATCGGTGTCTTCTGGGCTGGGCGGGGGAGGTGGAAGGGGCAATCCGCAGGTGTGTGGCCCTGAGTTGGACCCTCCTGGGTGAGGCCTGTAGTGGTGGCTGCCTGGCTTCCACTCTGGAGTTGTCCCTCCTCCCCTGAGGACAGATCCTTGGGCTGTGACAGATGGAAAAAGCAATACAGGTTTCCTTACCTCAAAGCTGGAGACAGGTTGCAGGAGGGGAGTGTGCCGGCCACCTCCACTCAAATGCAGTCCCAGAAGAGTCTCGCGGTAAAACACCAACCCAACAAAGAGGGGGCACCCAGGAGCATGGGGGCTATAAGCCAAAGCTGGGCCACCAGCCCCAACTGCAGAGCACCTATCACCTGGCAGGGAGGGCAGAGAGCAGGTGGCCTCAGCCCATCCCCTGCACTCACCATACTGCAGGTGAGGACCTCTCTGGGCCTCGGTTCCCTCAGCTCAAGGTGGGCGTAATGACAGTAACCTCTTCGCAGGGCTTTGGGAGCTGGAATGAGTCGCTACCCAGCTAACGCCAGCCTGCCCACCCCCAGCAGGCCTCCTGCACACTGGCACCTGCCCACCTGGCTCCAGCCCTTGCTCCCTCTCACCCCAGGCTGGGGGCAGAGTCACCTCCACCCAGCACTCCAGTCCAACCTCACCTGCCCATGCCTCCTCCCAGGAGACTCCCAGAGTTCCCCTGGGCCAGGGAGCTCTTGGCAGCCTGCTGAGACCTGAGAGCCCTT